TGTGGTTTCACTTAGTTCAGCTCCTACTAGAAAACACGGGCTACAGTGAGTGCTCTCGAGTATTGTGAGAAAAGTGAAATTGTGTTACGATTCTTCAAGGCAGTTCATATTGGGTGTTTTAATCATTTCTGCTGAATATAGCTTATTTATGATATACGCATGTGTATATTCCTGTGCATGGCCATCTGCAGACATCTGTATAGCGTCCGATAGGGTATTATGTTGATAGATGTTATGTTTGTATGTTTTTATATGATATTACTATCACTATCATTATTGAAACGAAAAGGAAAACAAGCAAATGCTAATCTATATTCTTATTTACTTTTTGAATTAAGCAACCGCTGAATGTTGGTTATGGTGTGTATGATGAAGATGTAGCGGCGAGAAAATCGTGAGGAGCGAAATAGTGACATTTAAATGATTTTTGTTTCTTCTTATGCACTATTGTACTTTTTTTTATCGCTGCTAGAATTGCCTTTTTAATGCGATTAATGTGAAAGCACAATTTCGCTTTACATAAACCGAAATTACGTTAAATAGGCAGTGCTAAAATGTATTTAATTTTTTCCTGTTTAGTCATATTGTGTCCTTTCTCCAGAGCAAGTAAGGTGGGCATGTGACCCCTTGAATTGGTCACTTTCACCCGATCAGAAATTGCGTATGGTTGCGCCTTACTTTCTCCGTTATGCGTTACGAGTTTCTTTTTGTCATGCCGGTCTTTCTCTTGGCATTTTCCCGTCTTCCCTCTCTTTCTCTTGGCATTTTCCCGTCTTCTCTCTCTTTCTCTTGGCATTTTCCGTCTTCCCTCTCTTTTCTCTTGCATTTTTCCGTCTTCCTCTCTTTCTCTTGGCATTTTTCCCGTCTTTCTCTCTCTTTCTTTCATTTTTTTTTTTTTTTTTTTTTTGTCTTCGCTCTCTCTTTCTCTTGGCATTGTTCCGGATTTCTCTTCTCTCTCTCTCTTTCTCTCTCACTCTCTCTATCTCTCTCTCACAGTCACTCTCACCCGCAAACTTTCCCTCTCTCCATCTCTCCCCGTTTTTCTAGTTCTTAAGAGAAAACCAGTGGAATATTGCAAACTTATTTTTGTCTCTGTCTTCCTTTTGGTTGAAACAATTTCATCTGGTTCACTTTCTTCGTCTTTGTTCATTTATCTAATGGCATTCTCTCTCTCTCTTCTTCCCTCCTTTTGTCTCTCTAGTTGCCTCTTCCTTCCCCACCTCCTCTACCTCCAGGCCCTGTAACCCCTATCTTTCCAACCCGCTCTCTCATTGCTCCTTCTCTCCTTCCGCAGATGCGTCACCTCCTCCTGCTAGGACTCCTCGCAGTCAACCTCTTCCTGTTCGCCGAGTCCTTCATCCTTCCTCCTGGCTACGCTCCTCCGGTCTTCCCTGCGCTTCCTCTGCTGCACCTGCCGCTGCTGGGCGTCGTGGATGAAGCCGGGTTGATGCCTCTGCTGATCTCTACGTTGACGGCGATTCACGTGAGTGTGTTTTGTTTTTACTTTCAGGGCGTGGTTTAAATTCCTTGATATGGCCATCGCTCATCCATTGTCAGGGGAGTGTGCGTCGAGCGGGTAGTTGGGTCGCCTGGAAAGAGCGTCGGTCAGAGGTTATGTGGGGATGATCTTGATAGGACTTTTTGCAGTCGCAGCTCCTGAAACACCCGACGCATTGATATCAGATTTCAGTTGCAATTTTCAGGATCGTTGCTCTGAAGTGAACCATTTCAGTTTAGGTTACTGCTGATGCAAGTTCTGTCCTACATCTCCACAGTTCCCCAGGGGAACACGACCCTTAGGTTGAGAACCACTGATTGAAAGGAACAACAGAACAGTACCTTACCGCCGCGGATTAGAAATATATTTGTAAATGTGTAAGAAAGCTAATTTCATCGTTAAACATGCTGTACCCACAATGGCCAGTTATGTACAATTTTGGCGTATATGTTTTTGTATCTGAGCGCTGTATCTATCATTTTCTATTTGTTTTACCACGCATACTTGTAACACCTTCAAATGCAGTAGTGCATCTCCTATCGTACTTGTAATATGTATGGATCTATAACATTAGCGACGACTTTATTAATTCGTACAAACCGTAGTAGTCCATTTAGTTTATGACGCAAGCTTATACCCCTCTTCCTCCTTCCCTCCAGGCCGGCACCATCATAGCGCTCTTCGTCACCGGAGGCTACCGCAGGAGAAGGTCGACCTCGGAGGACTCCGCGGATCCCGTGTACCTCATCATGTCCGCCGTCAGCCGTCTGGACACTCACGGCTGCATCCTCAAGTTACTGTGCCAGCTGAAGGCCAACTCCCCCGACGACCTTTCAACAGAAGAGGGGATCATCGTGGAACTCTTCGCCGATCACCACGATCTCTTCGCCAAGAACGGGGCCGGCGAGTCCTCTGCCCTCGGCGAGGGCCAGGATGTGTGTGCGGCTCCTGGTGATCGCTGTCCGGTTGAAGGAGAAATTCTGAGGAATCTGTCGCGGATGGTCTGGGGAAGCAGCTTCTGAACCAAGACCGTCGACAGACGATCAAATTATGCTGGTTCTGATATATCTAAGGTGCGAGGATGTTCTTGGGAATTATTTCCTGTCCAGTGATGTATATTTATTATTTATGCATACACCGTGTCCCCCACTATAAGAATGGTTTTCTAGACAGACAAGACGACCCCGCTCATTTCCTCCTCATCAAACCTCTCCTTCAGACGTTCAACCCAACACCTAAAGAGCCACAGATAGACTGTTTACACGCCCGATTATGATGAAGCCAAAATGGGACATGAAATCAAAAGTTATTTATATAGATATTGTACTTTTTTCATTCCATTCATTCTGTACATATTTCCCCCTGTCATGGATCTCACTCAAACACACACGGAGTTTAAATTATTTAGTTAAAACTTGAACTTCCTCTACACTAAACACCAATAAATTATTTTTGTTAATGCTGAAATTGCAATGTTTGTTAGATGTTGATTTATATTTATCTATACTATTTGTTATTTGTTTGTTGTTACTGTATATATTTTGTTGTTACTATTGATTGTTGTGTTATTTTGTTTGTATGTTTAGAATGTGAAAAGTTTATATTTAATCTCTCTCTCTCTCTCTCTCTCTCTCTCTCTCTCTCTCTCTCTCTCTCTCTCTCTCTCTCTCTCTATCTATCTATCTATCTATCTATCTATCTATCTATCTATATCTATATATATATCTATATATATCCATCTTTCATTTTAGTTTGAATAAAGATATGAAAATATAGATATGCTATCTTATTATATATCTTTCAGCGATCTTTACATAAACGGATGAACCGATTCTAAAAAAATCATAAATCCCAAGTGAATACAAACATGCATATTCATGATATAGTTCATGCATATATATATATATATATATATATATATATATATATATATATATATATATATATATATATATATATAATATATATAAAGATAAATACACTTCTATGGTTACGTGTGGTCTAGTTCACATTTTTTTTTCTTTACATAATAGATATAAAACTGGCACTGTTCCAAACCGAGCTCTATGAAATCATCATTAGTGTTAATATTACAATCATTATTACTGTAATGATAGTAATGGCTATTATCATTGCCATTACTACTACTTTTATTATTATCATTACTACTGTTATCATCATTATTATTATTATCATTACTGACATCACCATTATTATCACCATCACTATAATTTTTGTTATCATTGTTATTATCATTATTATTGTTAATGATATCAATATTGCCGTTAGCATCATCTTTATTATCATTATCACTACTATCATTTTTATCATTGTCACTTTATTATCATAATTAGTATTGTTATTATTGCCATTATCTTCATTATTATCATTTTCATCATTTGTGTTATCATCATCATCATCATCATTATTATTATTGTTATTATTATCATTATCATAATTATAATCATTATTATCATTACTATTACTTTTGTTAATATTTTCATTATTGTTATTACTATCGTAGTTTTATCATCATCAATATCATTATCATTACTATTAGAATCATTCTATTTATTACAACTCAGTACTGCGATCATTATAATTAGTATCATCATTAACATTATCAATATTAGTATTATCATCATCATTATTATTATTACTAATAAAAATATCATTATCATCATTATTACCATCATCATCACCATCACCATCACTATCACCATCATTATTATATCCTAATTATTGCTTGATCTATCATTATTACTAATACAGATATTTTGGGAAGTATTAGGCTGCACTCAAGGCCCCTGAACAAGACACTATGACGTCATAGATTAACAGATTCACAAAACAATATCTGGAACGAATTATACAATATAAAATATCAATATCACATCAGTAATGTTTTCTATTGTATTTCTTCAAGGAGGGTCTTTTCGACTCACATCGTCCATTTTACTCTAGGAAAGAAGTGACTGATTGGTATATGATTTTGAATGAATCGAATCGAAAGGTCAAATGGAGCGAATCAGTCTCGTGTGACCTCAGAGATTTGCCTGAGAAGAGACTCCTCGTAGGAAAATAAAACTGGATTAATTTTATTGTTTGATGAGGAGTGATGTCTGACTGGAAGAGATTTTACCGTTCGTTTCTTTTGCGTCTGTTTCGTTTGATGAATGCCAGGTTTGGGATAAGATGGATGTAGATGGGTATGAGGAAAGGGCAATGCCACAATGTAAGAGATGTAATTAGCGTTGCGATGGTACATTTTGATTGCAATTACTCGTAATTACCGGAATTATGATGGGTATGTAATGGTGGACCGTTGATTAATTTTCTTGCAATGTGAAACTATTCATTTTTTTCTATACTGTTTTCTAGAGCAGTGAATATTGCTCTTGTGATATGGTTTGCATAAGCAAGATCCGTAAATTAGTTTGTAGGTTCAAGATATTTTTATCACTTAGTACGTATTCATTGTTTCATTTATTTCCCCCCGGTGTTATATTGGTACTTCTCGCTAGGTTTCTGTAGATGATGTTTGTAAGTAAAAACTGGACTGTGTTTCCCATTTCTCTCTCTCTCTCTGTCTATCTATCTCTATCTATCTATCTGCCAAACTATCTATCTAATCATCTACCTGTGTGTTCACATTTCTATCCATCTATTTATACTAAAAGCTAAAAAAAAAATACGAAATATAGATAGAACAGAACAGACTGACATACCACATCTTGACAGGGTGAGATAAGGCCTATTATTCATCTGTGTTCTCCTCTTTTTTCACGATGACGTAATGATCCTGTTACCTATGACGTCACGAAGTGTATATAAAGACCAGGTGAATGTTCCTCTCTGGCCATTCACTTGCCTCTTACTTGTCCGTGTTGATCTCCCACAGTAAGCGTTCGAGACTGCTGTGAGAAAAGGGAACTTTCTACGCATACTTGTCTTCAAAAAGGAATACGTTTTGTAAAGTGAGTACTTATATTTTGTAGACGGAATGTGTGTAGTTTCTTCATGAATTAATCGGCGTTATTATAATGATAAATATTCATCTTGATGGGATAAGGGCGATGGCATCCCCGGCTTTTAGTGACAAGGTGAAGTGAGATTTTCAGAAATTATCTCTTTCTTTTTGTTTATCGAACAAAATGTTAAAAAAGAAAAGAATGATGCGTACTAAGAAACACGAATGATATAAATAATTTGTCAGTGGAGTTTCATACTGAAATAGTGAAATGAGTAAGAAATACAAAGCCCTCTTATCGAATTTACACTGTATATTTTGATGATGTCTTTCTATATATATATATATATATATATATATATATATATATTATAATATATATATATATATATATATATATAAAACTCGTATGCGATTCTCTTTCCTCTCCAGGGAGTTAAATTACGCAAAATACAATGCACGTGATTCAAAGAGAAAATCTATACTCGCTCAATCACGTCCTTTCTCTTGCGTAAATGGAAGTGGACAGAGACCACTTTCACTCGAAATTCTTTGGCTCTCACTTTCCCCGTCGTGTGATACGCATTTCTGTCTCTCTGTCTCTGTTTTTTTTTTTTTTTTTTTTTTTATCTCTCTCTCTTCCTCCCTCTCCCTCTCGTTTTCCTTCCTTCCCTCCCTCCTTCCTTCATTCCCTCCCTCCATCGTTCCTTTCCTCACTCCTTCTCTCCTTCGAACCTTCGCTCACTCCCTCCCTCCTTCGTACCTTCCTTCCCTCCCTCCCTCCCTCCACCCCTCATTCTCTCCCTTGCTCCCCCTCTTAATCACATCCGATCTCTCACTCCGTAGATGCGCCACCTCCTCCTGTCAGGACTCCTCGTGGTCGACCTCCTCCTGTTGGCGGAGTCCTTCATCCTTCCCCCTGGCTACGTCACCCCGCTCTTCCCGAATCTTCCTGTCCCTGTTCTTCCTACGCTCGGGGTGATTCAAGCCAGCGGACTGATGCCTCTGTTGGTGTCTACGCTGAACGCTGTACAGGTGAGGGTGGTCAAGGTGCAGGTGAACATTTGTTATTTGTTTTATGCAATCGTCTTATGTATTATGTTTTATCGTTAGTTGTAATTGTCTCTTGATTGGATCTTTTTGAAAATACCATTATTTTAATCTCTTAATATAGGATAACTTATCATCATATCTTGATGTGCTTTATCATTCTCTCTTCACATATCTGATCATTGCCTTACATACGTATCACCATTGGCTAGTAATGTACTTTTGTTTCTTGAATGTGACAATTTTTTAATCCACTTTACAACCATCATTTAACACTCATTACCACTGTCATATATGTTAATATATTTGCAAATTCCTTCTTATACAGGGGCGATTAAGCATAGTCAGTCAAGGAACAAACTGACAGATAAACCTAATGAGAGACATACAGCTAGACAGATGGAAATATGCAGTCAATCAAGTGGACAGACAATGAGTTATATGTAGCATGTAGACAGACAGGGTGATATAGATGGACAGATAGACAGGGATGAACATATTCATAAACGGATGTAATGAGACAGAGAGACAGACGAATAGACACATACTTTTTAAAAAATAACAATATATGAGGAGTGTTACTCTGTGTGTGTGTGTGTAAATAAGTATATAATTAAGTAAATACACACAGACATACATACACACGCACACACACACACACACACACACTTTTTCAGATTTATGGTGGAGGCATAATCATTTTCTATCTGTATTTGTATCTTTATTAGAGACAGTGACTTTATGAAATTTCTAAATTCATTATCTCATTGTTGAATATGATAACGACTGCCTAATATATCTCAAAGGCTCTGTATAAATAATTCATAAAACAATCATATTTAGATATCCACATAAATGTAATAAGCATGTCGAAATAACTACACAAACACACAACAGACGACCTTAAAGATCCTACTGCATTCCAGCCAGACTTTCCCGAATTCAAAATGCATTCTCGCGACTCTTTCCACGGACTCGTTTC